AGAGAGAGAGAGAGAGAGAGAGAGAGAGAGAGAGGATTTCACTGTTACTTTGTGGCCCAGGTGGGCTTGAACTTGCTATCCTGCTTCAGCTTCCCGAGTGTGCCAGCACACCCAGATTTTTCTTTCTAGTACTAGGAATTAAACCCAGGGCCTTGCACATGTTAGACAAGTGCTCTACCACTGAGCTACATTTTTAAGCCCTTTTTATTTTCTCTTGAGACAGGGACTTAATAAGTTGCCCAGGCTGGCCTCAAACTTGTGATCCTCCTACTCAGCCTATGAAGTAGCTGGGATTGCAGGCACATGCCACTCTACCTGAGTGCTGTCTCTCAGGTTCACGTCTTGCTTATCAGCTATTCCTACTGATCTACAGAATAGGTACAGAGTCTGCCCACTCCCCACAGACTGCCTCTCCTGGCCCGCACCACTATCCTGTGGATGACCACACGGCCTCCCACTTGATCTCCTTGGGGGAATTTGATTTGCTCAAGATCAACCCTTACATGATCATTTCATTAAGCTTCACAATAGAGAGGATCCTGTCTGTCACTGCATGGGCACAGAGACTAAAGCGAACAGTGTTTAATCTACTGGGATCATGGGGCTAATGCAGTGGAAGACTAAACTTTGCTGCATCTGAGCAGTGGTTGCGTTGAAGCCTTGCGCTTCAGTGTGAAGCCTTATCCTGGGAGCTTTGTGTTTGCAGAGCCGTATCAAAGGGCAGCAGCAGCCTGAACTGGGGCCATTGTCTAGGATTCTCCAAGACCCAGCCCTGTCACCATTTTATTCTCTTGCTTTATCTCCTCTTGACAACATGGGGTGGACAGGCTCTTTCCCTAGCCTTCATGTGTGTCAGCACTTGCTGCTTGAGATACCCCGAGAGCTACATGCTATGACCCTTCACGCCCCCCCCCCACACCCCTGCTGACAAGGGAGGCTCCTGGGCTGACTTAGTTTCTGGTCCCTTCACTACTAGGAACTTTAAAGCCAGTCTGTGACCACACCATAAATCAGTGGTCACAGAAAAGGGCATGAAGCTTTCTCTTTTTCCAGTTTTCCTTCCATCCCTGGACACATCTGGTCTGATGCAGAGAATCCTTTAATTAATCCCCCACCTCAATACTTTCCACCTTGGCTTCTGGGGTTCACAGAATGGTGCTGAGAGTGGCCCCCTGTGAAGAAGCTGGGCCTGGGCACCCAGACACCTGCACCAGAACCCTGGAGTTTCTGAGCCTCCTTAGTGGAAGGTGGTGGCGGTGGGATGGGGGAGAGGATGGCTTTGCCATCCTAGCCCATCTCGTAGAATCAGCTAAACTTCTCCCTATGACATCCCTTTCCAGAGCTGCGCCAATCAGAAAGAGAAGCCTATTGGTTAATTCTGGAGTTTATAGAACAAGAACACATGGTAAGGAAATTCTCTAGAACTTTTTGAGAACTAAAGAGAAAAAAAAAGTGCTTGTACTTCTTTAGGATTGGAGAGCTAGCCCTGGTGTGAAAGCCTCCTGAAATTCAGCCTAGTGCTGCCTCTTGATTTGAGGCTATGTTGATGACTAGGCCACCAGAAAGCGTGGCTGGGGTACAGGTCTTATAGCTCCTTTCCTGTACAGAGGATACTCCTTATCCATGCTTCTTCCTGCTATCCCTCAAGGACAACCAAGGGGCCCAGGACATTGGTGAGCACCCACTGAGGGGACCAGGACACTGCTGAGGAAATCAGTTGCACATGTTAGGAAGTGCTCTACCACTGAGCTCCATCCACAGCCCTTTTTATTAAGATGCTCTGAGTCTGGGGGTGGGTGGGATAGACAGAGTGGGCTACAGGCTTGGGGGATTGCTCAGTTGCAAAGGAAGGGCTGGGAAGGGCACTGTCTTTTGTTCTAGTCTACGATGGAGAAGCAGAATTTCCTCAAAGCTGTGGAAATCCTCAGTAGTGCTGTGCGTGCCGAGGGAAATGGCAACATGAACGATTATTATCCCAAAGCCACCCTGGCTAAGAAAATTGAGGTGAGGAAAACCCAAGTTCTTCTAGGAATTGGTCATTCAGGGATAAGGGTAACAGTCCCAGAAAGATTCACAGGCCAAGTTCTCTCAGAGGAATTCTCAATTTTCCTGTTTCTTTTAGACATTAATCCTGGAAGAATCCACTGAGACTTTGGACAGCAGCGTGCGTCAGCAGGCCATGCTGTGTGTCGTGGCTCTCAGGTTCCTTTCCTCTTGTGACCCTTATATAGGCCCTGGGGTTCTGATGCTGAGAATATTGGGGCTAGGCAGAAGGACACGGCCTAAGGACTTACGTTTGGGGCTGTGGGCAGCAGAGCTGCATCACTGTCATTTTACTTGCCTGCATCCTGGGGTGGGGGGCTGCTCTCTACCTTCACTACAAAAAGTAGAGAAGCCACCCAGACAACCAGGCTCCCCCTGCCCTGCCAAGAGGCCTTTGGAAAGGGACCCATTGTTTCCTGTACCTTAGGGAGAGCAGCAGAACAGGCTAACCCAGAGGGTCCTGGAAACATTGCCCAGCCTCTCACCAGACCCTCTCAAGCCCTTTTCGTCCCTCACCTCTCCCCGCAGCCAGGTGAAGCCATCATTCTACTTACCCGAGATACTGGACTTGGTCAGCGCAAGCATCTCCAGCATGTTCTCTCTACCACTCATCATGCCCAGCCTTGACCGAAAGGATAATGCAAGCCTCTACCTTCAGGTGCCCCCACCACAGCCTCTTGCTGGAAATGCCCATAGGGGAGGCTTTGTCCTTGGGGCCTCTTCCTGTGCTCTTATCCCTTGGCCTTTCTCCTCCAACCCTTCCTTCAAGATCGCCTGGCACCATGGTCCTCATGTTGCTCTGAGCAATCCCGAGTTACTTTATCATCACCTATCTCCCTGGGGAAAGTGCCGTGTCCCATACTGCCCACATCCTGTCCCACTGAGGACCATCTGATGGCCTCAGTCTTGGGAGGAGACCCATAGATTCTAAGGAATGAGAAGATTCATAACTAACCATTAGACTGTCAAATCTTCCCAAGGATATTTGATTTTATGAATAGAAGTATCCAGGGCTGGGATGTGTATCTCAGTGGCCAAGTGCTTGCCTAGCATTCCCACGGTCCTGAGTTCAGTCTCCAGCATGACACCCTCCATGAGAAAAGTATCCTTAATTAGAATGGACCTCTAATGGTGAGAATCCTTTGGGGCTCTTTGTTGGGGAGAACGTCCCAATGCCTACATTTCATTATGTGTTCTACAGTTTGGGTTGGGCTTGGTCTTGATTTTCATGAGACCAAGCAAGTTACCCCAGGTAAGATTAAAGTGTGACTACCCCAGAGAAAGTACTTAGGGTGGCAGAGCTCTCTTCCTTCTTCCTGAGACAGGGTATAAGAGGACAGGGGTTGGAGGCAGGGATGTCCCCAGGGAGCCAAGCTAGTCCTGCGTCAGTCATCTTCCTGTGTGTGCCCTGTTCCTCACCTGTCAGACCACCCAGGCCTTAGATGACATGTTACAAGCACTTGTGATGGACGACATGGATCCCAACATGCTCATACTGGAAAACTTCCTGGAAGTAAGTGACTGAAAAAACATATTTCTAGACCTGTATGTTTGGCAGGAAAAGAGGGCAGTGGGGTGGTGATCTGGTGTCCCTCTGTCCCAAAAACCATGGTCAGTTCTCAAAACTCAGCTTGCATGTATTTTGCTTGGGACCGATTCCTGTACCTCCTCCAGGTCTCCCTTCTAAGGACAGTGTTTGAGAACCACAGCCATTAGGGAGAGGACCTGTTTCTGTCTGAAGCTTGGGCATTGTTGGGGCTTTAATGGTAACGACACTTATATCCATGTGAGGCTTCTATTTCTTTAAAATGTTTTCCCCTGGCTCCTATAGTTCTAGTTACTGCTCTCTGATAAAGACCTCAGTAGCTGGGAATATGGCACTTGCCTGTAGTACCAGTATTCTGGAAGGCTAAGGCAGGGGAATTGTTCCAGCTTAATCTGGACTATCTAGTTACTTAGGGAGACCCGTCTTTAAAATTTTGGAGTGGGGTTAGGGATTTGGCTCAGTGCTCACCCATCCAGGCTGCCTTTATATTCCTTTTTTTTTTTTTTTTTTTGCGGAACTGGGGATCAAACTCAGGCCTTTGTGCTTGCCAGGGAAGCGCTTATTCCACTGAGCCATCTCCCCAGCCCCTGCTTTTATATTCCATGATGGAGTCCTCCAGGAGACTCAAAGCATTTCATTGTCTTTAGATCCTCTCAGATATTCTTACTTATAACAAATTGCCATTTCCTAGGATGAATTTGAGTTGGTGAAACACGCAAAAATTCCCTGAAATCAACCGTCATGTACACGATGGTAATTAATTAAGGCAAAATAAAGCCTTAGTTGTGACTGCAGTGGAGAGTGGCCAGGTATCCTATAAAAGACCTTGAGCAGGGCTGTATCCAGAGGGGAAGTTGATCCACATCTTGACGTGTGACGCAGGTCTTTGGAATGTGTCTTGTCTATTTGTTGACGAGCAGAATTTATGTTTCTTAGGCAGCCTCACTGTAATAACAAATGCTGGGTTACTCTTGGGGTTCTCAGGGGATGGGGATACTGAGCCCTTGCCCTGGCCAGGGTGGAGCTGTCAAGGAATCTTCTGTTGGGGTTCCTGCTTTCAAAAGTGCATGGTGTCCTGCAGAATCTCCACTTGAGTTTCCAAACTTTCACACAAAATAATGGAGGAATCGATTTACTGTGACAAATGAAATCAAAATGATAAAATAAGTTATTCTTATATGCAACCAAATTTGGATTATATTTGCTACTTTGACATAATTCTTTTTTTTTTTTTGAGGGGTACAAATGTTTTGTTTTAGGGCCGACCAAATAGCTTAGTGGATTAAAACACCTGCACACAGGCACAGGGGCCAGGGGTGCAATCTATGGGCCTGCCATGCTGGCCCCGCCCCTGGGGTGCACTGACAGGGCAATTGAGACTGGGCATGGTGGTGCGCACCTAAAATCCCAGCTCTTGGAAGGCTGTAAACAGGTGGATCACTATGAATCCAATCTAGTAGTGAGACCCTGAGCACCCTGTAGACCCTTTCCTAAAATACAAAAAAACAAAAACAAAAACAAAAAACAAACCCAAAAAACAAAAAACAAAACAACAACCCACAGGGCCAGGGAGATGGCTCAGTAGAATAAGCACCTCCCTGGCAAGCGCAAGGGCCTGAGTTCAATCCCCGGTTCTGCAAAAAACAACAACAAAAAAAAAAAAACAAAAAAAAACCCCAAAAAACAAAACAACCCACAAATGTTTTGTTTGGTTTGGTTTGGTTTATGCAATACTGGGGATCAAATTCAAGATCTTGTGCTTGCCAGGAAGGTGCTTAAGCCACTGAGCTATATCTTTGGCCCAAATGTTGTTTTTGAGGAATTTCTTACTGTACGTTTCCAAAGAACAGTCTAATAAGAAAGCAAAAATGTTGTCCTCCTCCTTCTTTAAATTAATAAAGACATAAACTTTTTAAAAAAATCATGATACTTGAAAGTTGAGCACCATCTGAAATATACAAAAAATAGGGAAAAAGCATTTACTATATGATTTCAGATTTCTCTGGCTATAGGTCTCCCCATGTAGTATTAACATTTTTTCTTTCATTTTACCAAATCAATAAAAATTAGGAAAATATATAAACCTGTTGGTAGCTTAAGTGGGGTAGGATGCTTTCCTGTAAGCCGAGCAGGCATTCCTGGGCTGGAAGCTGGCTGGGAATATGGAAATATTTGCTGACATTTTCCTTATGCAGTTGTCGGTCTCTCTGAGAATAATAGTAAACACTGACATGTCCTTAGTCTCCTGCTTTCTCACTTAGATGTTTCTTTTGGCAAGATTGTGGGTGGGTGTATTCTTTAATTTGAATGGTTATTAATTCTCTAGGTCACCTCTTTGCTGTCTTGTACACGAACGTTAGGAGGACAGTTTGGGGCAGCCAGGTGTCCTTTGGGGAGAGGAAGGCCTCTGAGGTTCTTTAGGTATTAAGCTGGCTTTTGATGAACTTGTCTCTGAAGCTGTGCTGCTTGGGACTGCATCCCTTCTCTTTCCCATCATACTGCTGACAATTTTTTTTAATTTTTTATTTATTTATTTTTGCGCGCGCGCGTGTGTGTGTGTGTGT